ACCAAGACAGTTTCCCCAATTATCACCTGTAATACCATTAACTCACAAACATCCCACTCTCCCTACCTTTAATATCAGCAATTCACAGACACTTACCTTCCTTCCTCCCCCTTCCCACCCCCCCGCATCCCCCTTCTGTTCTGCAATGTGATTTGTCCTTTTCATATTTGTTCATTTTTTTAAATTGTATCCTTTGGTATATATGGTTGTGACTACTTTCTTCCACTATTTGATCTGAGGAAGTGGGTCTGGCCCACGAAAGCTCATCATCTAATAAACCATCTTGTTAGTCTTTAAAGTGCTACATTGTCCTGCATTTTGCTTCATGCTTATAGGGTTCCTGCATGTAACTGAATGTGTTATCTGATGTGTTCATTGGTTAACTGTGCACATGATTACACTTTCACATCACTAATTCACACCTATACAGGATACTCCGAACTTGCGACACTATTGGTTCCAGAAGAAGTGTTGCAAGTCGGGGGTGTTGTAACTCGAACCCGCATTTACGGTAGGCACCGTGTGCTGTCGTAAATAAGGGCCGAGGACATAAGTCGCGGGTTTCCAGCCCATTCCGCACTTACACAAATGGTTATAAGTGTGGGGGGTTGCAACTCGGGTGGTTGCATCTCAGGGGCCCCCTGTAGAGTCTAAATCAAACTACTTCTAATGCTCCTGAAGCAGATTATACAGTACAGTTCATGGAAGCCCTATGGGATACAATTCTATTTGTGAGCGGTGTAAGATGTTCACCAGGTATGTCTATCACTTCAGATATGCTCATAAAAATTCCAAAGTTTGCACCTCTCCTATTCCCACTTCAGACTCCCAATGCCAGGCTTTACGTGCTATTTGTAACTGGACACCGTTCTTTCAAGGCCATCCTTAGGCACAGTCTAGAGCTGGCTACAGACAGTGACAGCAGTTCTAATCCAGCGGCTCCAGACCCCCAGCCCCAGCAGCCCTAATCCCCCAGCCATCCCTCCACCTCTGTGTGTTGGCTGCCCCAATGCTCAGGGCCAGCCCACTGCTCCACCTACTAGCCCTGGCAGCCCCAATTCCCTGCCTCCTGCTCTGCCTCCTAGGTCACAGCCCTCATGGGCTGCACCACTTTCCCTTTTCCTGCTCCCCTGCCAGCTTTCCTACCCTATTCCTGTCCTCCCACAGCGCTGAGCACAGCCCCCTGTGTAGATGCTGCACTGCTCCCCCACCCCCTGGTAGGGGATGGAGGGTGCAGGTACTCAGGCTCCATAGGATACCAGAATTCCTTAGAAAGGCCCTGTGTTCTTTTATTTAGTATTGTTCCGTTCAGGTTTTTATTGTGCATTATTATCCGTCTAACACATAAACATGAGAAAACAGAAAGAAGTTTCCCTGCCTAAACATTTAGAAGGAAAGAAAGGGGGGAAGGAAGACAAAAGAGCCTCTGGAACAAAATATATACTGTATATATTTTATACCTCTTTAGCAATAGCATCTTGGAGGACAACTTACTGCAGATTCCATATGAAGGCAGAACATGAGAAAGATTGAGAGTAACCCTTAAAAGAATATACAGCAGATTAAGATTTTCTGTGAGTTTATAGCTAATATGCCTCAATGACAAAAATTATATCACTCGTAATGGGCGTGCTCCAATCAAGTCAGTATACTGTGTCCATTAAAGGTTGAACTGAGAAGTAAGGGCAACCTGGTCAATGAAAAGGAATACAAAGGAATTTTCTGCAGCTAGCTGGCAGTCATTTCCTAAACACACAGACGAGGGGAAAGATTCTGTTACTCATACATAAAAACAATATTCCTTACAGTGGGAGTCAGCCAAACTATGCGAATGAGCAACAGCCACCTGGTCACCAGTAGTCCCTCAGTGCAACTAGGTGGCTGTTGCTTGGTTATTCATCCATTTTGGCATGCCACAGTAGAAGTGTGGCTCACACAGCATGTGATGCAAAATTCAGATTGAAAATGCAGATGAGATTTGACGTTGATCTGAGCCCTGCACGCTCATACAAAGGACACATATGCTTGATACAACTAATCAGTATTCTCAAGAGGATTTTATTTTGAACCCATTTTACCAGGGCAGTTTAACATGCCAGAGCAACAGAGAATAACTGTTCAGAAACATACTATTTCCTGTAATTGGAAGAGGAATAGTTTAAACAAGTCTTTAAGGTACATTCTGAATACATAAAATCATCTTCCTAAGAAGTTTCAGAAAAAAGGCATA